GCTACTTGGAATCCACTACTCTTTCCAAGAAGCTACAATACAAAATAAACATCATAATAAAGAACAAAGCACCTTAACCGGATCACCTACATAGGCCAAAATAGAGAATTGTACAACTAGAACCAAAGTAGAAATCGCGGCAAACGGAAGAACTAGTAAGCTAATAAGAAGATCAGAGAAATTGAGATTTAAGCACAATCTAGGAGACAACTGATTTGTTTATTTTCCTGCACTACACTCGGCGGCCAAAGAGAGAAGCAGTTCCTTACTTTGCTTAGTGATTTTTTATTAGAATATTCTGTCTTGATCACATTTGGCATATCTTTATTTGTTTATGCAATATTGTCCACAATATGACTCCTTCAGTCTCTTCTCGTAATATTAACCCCTTGCATTTCATTCAAATGTTTGTATAGGCCAGCAATTCCTACATCTTAAATGCACTACAATTGGAAGGGCTTCTTTCTCATTAAAATGAGAGATTTCCTAATAGCTAGGTGCTATCTTAAGGTTATTTCGAGGGTCATATAAGGACATATCCAAAGCAGCAGCGGCAGTAGGAAATCTAATGTTTGACGCTTAAAATTTCTGAACTTGCTGTTTGAAATGAAATATGTCTTCTTTCTTCACTTCTAGTGTCATTTGCATCATCAAGACCTTCAACCTTACAAAGACCTTCAACCATGCTCAGATTGTCAATTATAGAATTAATAGTGGATACTGTAACATGAAACTTTCCATCATTCTCCACAACTGGTTGTCTTAATATTTCGATAAATGATTCTGCTCTCACCTCGCCATGACAAATCATAAATTCAGAGAAAGGAGACTTTCAGCCTTGCAAAGACCTTCAACCATGCTCCAATCGTCAATGATACAATTAGTAGAGCATACTGTCCACCAATCTCCAGAATTGTTTATATCTTAATATATATACCAAAGAATGGTTCTGCTCTCACCTTGCCATGACAATTCATAAATTTAGAGAAAGGAGGGTGTCGCTAAATAGATAAGTTAGTAATAGCCCACTTTAGCACATCTTGCATAGAAATCGAAGAAGGATATTACCATAGGCATGTATATGGCAGTTGCTACAAACGAAGAAAACTAAACATTAACTAGCCACAAACGAAGACTACTATAAACATACTCTCAGATTGGCTGCAAATCGCTAGTTGAGTTTACAAAAGCTGACCGTAACACCGCCATTAGATGCTTGCCAGAATTTCAGTTCCGAAACACGTAAGGCCTAAACTTGTCCAAGTTAAAAAAAAATGAGGGCCAAACTCATGCAACTCAGATTTCAAGAACCTAGCGCTGAACTGTGAAATCACTTCCCAACGGAGAGATAAAGTGTAAAGCCTACTCATCCAGCCGCTAAAGGCAGCTCCCGCACAGCTAGAATTGCAAAAACCCAACAACAAGGCATATCAAATCCATTTCAGGCCAAATTACATTAGAATTTACACATCCTCGCCCCCACCTGGCCTAAAAAACAGTGTTTCACCTTTACACTTGTGCAAAGCAAAAGCTCACCAGAACTCCTGTTCCAAAAGTGCATAAACCGCTATCAAACATGACACCTAACTCATCCGCTTCCGGATTTCGCACAGCAAGCGCCAGAACACGAGAACTACTTTAGAAACCAGCAAAATGAAGTGACAAAACCTAGTAAAGCCAGCCCTCGTCGCTCTAGAACTGCAATTAAAAACTCAAGCAGCTCAAACCCTAGCCATCGCCAGATATTGATGAACTCCACAACCACCACCAAACACTGGCGCATTGAGCCTCACCTGGTTCAGAATAAAGCTCTTCCCCTGTCGAGCCCGGCCGCACACGGAGACGACGCCAATCGGCTCCTTCACCAGCTGCAGCACCGCCACGGCCTCCGGATCCATCCGGAACCTCCCCTTCTCGTCGCAGTACACGAGGCGGATCGGCCGCGCGGGCCCGGTGAGCGGCGCCGGCGAGGACGGCGGGGGAGAAGGCGCGTACGGCTGCGCCGGCGATGCGTCGGAGGGGGCGTCCCTGCCGCCTCTGTTGAACAGCCTCATCATCGCGCGCGGCGAACGGGCGGGGGCCTCTCGATGCCTTCTTCGCTTTCTCAGTTTGCTTTTGAGAGAGAGAGAGGAGAGAGAGAGAGAGAGTGGTGTGTGTGTTTTTAAAGTCGGGGAGGGAAAGCGAGGTGAAGCGTGACTTTTTTAGGGCGGTGAAGTGAAACTGAGCCAGACGGTGAAGAGAGGGACCCTGAATTTACGAAAACGGACAGGGGAGCTGCCGCGTGAAGCGAGGGTGCTTTGGTCATTTCGCGACGAGGTCCTCCGTGGAGTTCCAAGTGATAGCTTGGAGGTCAAGCCACGGACCCGAGCACCCGATTGACGCCGCTTCGTTGCGTTCCGACGAAATTAATGGATCATATTAACGAGTTCGAACAGTTGATGGAGTAGCAAAACAACGACCACGTTTGATAAATTGGATATAACATCGGATAGGATAACTTTTATCCTATTTGGTGTTTGGAGTAATTGCAAAATCCGGCTACATCACGATATGATTCAAATACAGCCCAGATAAAAAAACCTCACCTAAAAGATAGAATATAGCCGGACAGGATAAGAATTAAAAAAAAAATTAAAAAAAAATTAAAAGCTAAAACAGAGGGGGAAGGATTCACAGCAGGCCCATCCTACTGCACTTTCGCTGGCCATTCCGACCACCGATCGTTATGGTCGATCGTGTTCCCATATCGAAGCTTCCCGATGGACGTATCCACCTTTTCCCAAATCAATTCCTTCCTCGACATGAACACCTTTGCACGTCGCAGAAATTTTCGGCCCTCTCGCGGCTACAATCGTTTGGAATGGTGAAGATTCGAGTTACCGAACTTCCTCTGCGTTTTGGTGCAGAAATTTTCTTGAACTTAGCCCAGGAGTAAAGGAAAGAAAAATGGAGCAAAACAGAGGTGTTTTGAAATTCCTTCCATTTGGGCAAATCTTCAAACGTTTATCTTCTCTCTCCCTGCCCACTTTCACGGATCGTGCGTAGCCCGCCTCGTTTCTCGTTCTCTTGTTCACTGCGATGACTCAGCCTTGCCGACAATCATGTTAACCCCAAATCTGAGGTCGCCCAAGACTGACAACACCATCCGAGGCGACGCAAGGCCGCAAGGATCGTAGTTTCGAGGATCGAGAAGGGACAGAGATGGCGGCCCATTGGGGGCACAGGTCGGTGACTGGGCGACGATAGGGTACGCGACGATGATGGGCGATGGCACGGTGAGGTGAGGCAATGTAAGAGCGGCTTGATAAGTGGCGGTCGAAGGCAATGCCAATGTTGGGTTGATGACTACAGGGCAAAGGTGGAGGTGGAAAGAGAATAACTTGTGTTATGGGAAATTGGTACCATGTCTATATCCATGTTATATCCGAACATGTACCAAATGCTACCACGAATCCCGTCGTTATCCTATTTGATACATATCCCATCCAACTTTATCATATTCTACAAAATATTCTAAACAACCAAAAGCAGCCTAAAATTTTAGCAACTTAGGAACCAAAAAGAGGGCTTCTACCAACTCGAGAGTATGTTCGGCTGTCGGGATAGGATGACAAATAGAATGGGATTAGAAATTCCTGCATTAGTTTACGAACCAATCACTCAAAGTCGAGCTAGCGCAATATATAGCTTAAAACTCGATTCAAACAAAAATGATGTGTTTGGCGGACTGAATACAATTTCGGATAAAACAACTTTTAACCTATTCATTGTTTGGTGTAACGTGAAATCCATAATTGTCTGGACGTGATTTGAATATGTTTTGGATACAACAATCCCACCTTGGGGATGCTATATGCCTATATAGGAATCGTTGTTGCGCACCATCAATGTCACGAGCTGAAATTTCCATGCAATTTGAATTTCAAATGAATAAATAATTTAAACTCGAATCACATACACAATTATACATAGTCAAACACTCCCAATGCAAAATTTAAATTCCTATTTTTGCTACACACTCTAATCCAATTCTCAAAAGCTCTTTGGAAGCGCCAATGAATTCCAAACTCGACCAATTTCAAATATATTTTGGCAATGAGCTTAAGCTTGGTAAATGGAATCTCTAAATCTAAAATAAGAAATCATCTAAGCACTTGACTTAGTAGCACAACAAACTCATACTATTTCGTACAGTCACAAAAAATTAGAAAGTGTCAATTATTCCTTTGGCTAGAAAATCATGAAAATTAAACTTATTCTTTCGTTATTTACATATTCACGCAGAATGTTTCGATCACGTGAGGAATACAACATGTATTCTATCCTACCTCGATTCAAGCACTTGCATCCCAATCCTTATAAAACATGTCAACCATTTTTAACTGCTACAAGCAAGCATCACGGCATAAATTCACGAGTGCCTCCAAATCCACATCTTCAACCACTTATTCAAAACTCCCCGTACCATAGTGACCTGAGTAACTAGCATCGACACCTAAAATTTTTTTTGCCAATAAATCAAATATGCATTTTTTTGTAATTAAGAAAAAAAATTATAATCAATAAAAATAAATAACAAGGTTTCAGCTCATTTGACCATAAGGGCAGATCCATTAAGCCAATTCAGATCACTTGAGTCCATCCAGCCAAGTTTATGAAACCCATGTTGGCCTAAGATAAAAAAAAATTGGAAGAGGCCATAGCATTTGATAAGATGGCCTTCTCTCTCTGGATTAAATTTCCAGAGAATCCCATCTCAACTCCCATCTTCCATTGCTCTCCACATGAGGTAGAGTTCGCTACAAGATTCTGGCAATCCTCTTGCCTCTCCGCCACCGGTCGACGCCGATTCACCTCCAGCGTCAGTCATCGCCGGCCACCACAGGGGTCGGCCATACCAGAACAGAGATAAAGAAAGTTCACGCACGGATTACTCAGGGTTCGAATTCGTGGACCTTCTTCATCTTCGCTCCCTTCCGTGATCCTGAATCCGCCGACGACGGCCGCCGTCGCCGGTTTCGCGACGCCGTCTCCGCTCGTTAATCAGGGAATCCTCTGTCTCCTCCAGTTTTTGAATTCGGGAGCCACGAATATGCTTACGAGAATCAATCGAAAAATCGGAGCTAATCTTCGATGATTCATACTTCTGTGTTGCTGATACATCGATTTTGCATGGGAAAATTACATTCATTCATTCCATGCCTACGCTCCATATTTGTAATGCACATACCATGTTGAATAAAAGGTTTCTTGAGATGTTTTCTAAACATATCTTCATTTGCTGTTTCTCCGCTGTTGTCTCTTTCGTGTACTCCTACGACGGTTGTGGTGGTCTCCGGTGAAGCGATGGTTCGGATTCCGAAGGTTCGAGTGTGGATCACTGGGAGAGTTCGTGTTAATCCCTTTTCCATATTTGTGCACCGGGAAAATTCTGAGATGCTGTGATCGTGAGGGTGAGATTCCCGGCGATCGCTTCTCCACGATCGTTGAAGAGTCTCTATTTCGCCCTGTTTAGCTGTCTCTGTGTCCGAGAAATTCAAAGCTCTCGCTTTCGAGACTTCTTCACCGGCGCCGATCATCAACAACGACGCGTCTGAGACCTCAACTTGCTAATATGATCGCTGCCCGTGTCAGGTAAGTGCGCCTTGAAAGCAAGGGTTAATACTCTGTTCTTGAGTTGTTTCCGGGTAAAAACTCTGCTCTGAATGAAGACATATTGAGGATTTTGGATTCAATTATTGCTAGTTGTGATGAATTGAAATGAATGGATGCTTGAGTTTGGAATATAAGATGTTTGGCTGAGATGCCTGCCACCTACTCGATTAAATTCCTGAACAGCATACTGTTTTTCGCTATTTTGATAATTCTTGACATATCATAATTGCTTGCCTCGGATTTATACATCACCAAGTATTGCTCGCCTTTGATTTGTGGATTCACGTATCTCAGCTTCACATTGTTTTAAAGCCTTGTGCATGGTCGTTTCTATTGTAATCCGTACGATGTAGTCCTGGTTTAATCCTGTCTTCAATGTTCTCGTTGCATGTGTGATGATGAATGGAGAGGATATGAATCCCATGGTGCCTGGAGTCGATTGGCGGTTGTGCTCAGAGTCATTACCTTCTCGGTAAGAGCTCAATATATATATGGAGGCCATGAAAATTGTTACGAATGGATGTGCTTCTCTGTATGGAACAATAAGCATGAATATTCTAGCAAAGGATAAGAATGGCGAAGAGAACCAAGTGATTTACTTGAGTGATTTGCTTAAGCAGAGTTGGAATTGGGATGTTTTAGAACGAAAAGAAGAATCAAAAAATGAAAAAAAGAAAAGGAAAAGTTAGGAAGTTCATGTTTCAGGAATTCGAGCATAAAAAAGAGGAGAATCTGGAAGGTTGAAAGTCTCCTTTATGTGAATTTATGAATTGTCATGGCGAGGTGAGAGCAGAATCATTTATCGAAATGTTAAGATAACCAGTTTTGGAGAATGATGGTAAGTTTCATGTTACAGAATGCACCGCTAATTCTATCATTGACTATCAGAGCATGGATGAAGGTTTCGTAAGGTTGAAGGTCTTGACGATGCAAATGACACTAGAAGTGAAGAAAGAAAACAAATTTCATTCCAAACAGCAAGTCCAGAAACTTTAAGCGTCAAACATCTACTGCCTTGGAACTATTAGGAAATCTCTCATTTAAATGAGATGGAAGTTTGTGCATCTAAGGAATTGCTGGCCTATATAAACAGCTGAATGAAATGCAAGGGGTTAATATTATGAAAAGATACTAAAGAAGTTATATTGTGGACAATATTGCATAAACAAATAAAGTTATGCCAAATGTGATCAAGACTCTTCGGCAGCCAAGTGTAATGCAGGAATATAAACAAATCAGTTGCCTCTTAGATCGTGCTTAAATCTCATTTTTCTCTAATCTTCTTAGTGTATTAGTTCTTACCGTTGCCGCGATTTCTGCTTTGGTTCTAGTTATATAATTCTCTATTTTGGCTTGTGTAGGTGATCTGGTTAAGATGCTATGATATTTATTATGATGTTTATTTTGTCCTGTAGCTTCTTGGAGAGAGTAGTGGATTCCAAGTAGCATTAACCCACCGATCATGAGCTTTTGGTTGTGTAGTGCATGGTTGAAGAGAGGAGCTCTTGATGAACCAAGTATATTCTCTCTGTTACTTTTGGACAGTGAAGTAATTGATGTTTATGATCAAACAGTAGGCCAAGTTCAATGAATTGAGTATTTCTTTCTGATCGCTGATTTGATTGTTCCATTATATATCATATTGTTCCATTATGTATCATATTGTGCCATTAGGCATATTTTTTCCCAACAATAATTCTTAGTTCATTCCTCAACAATCAAATCAGCAATCAACAAGTAATACTCAATTCATTGAACTTGGCTTACCGTTTGATCATAAGTATCAATCAATTCACTATCCAAAAGTAAGAGATTGTACTCAGTTCCATCAAGACCTCTTCTCTTTAACGGTGCACTCCACAATCCCGTTAGTGCATGGCCGGTGGGTTGATGCTATTTGGAATCCACTACACTTGCCAAGAAGCTACATAGTAAAATAAACATCATAATAAATATCATAGGACCTTAACATCTTATTGGGTCACCTGAGACGGGTCAAAATAAAGAATTGTATGACTAAAACCAAAGTAGAAATCAAACCAAACGGAAGAACTAATACATTAATAAGAATAGGAAAAAATGAGATTTAAACATAATCTAAGAGATAACTTATTTATTTATTTTCCTGCACTACACTTGGCTGCAAAAGAGGAGTGTTCCTTACTGTACCTAATGTTTTTCTATTAGAATCTTCTGTCATAATAATACTGCGCATAACTCCATTTGTTTATGCAATAGTCCTCAAATGACTTATTCAAATTTTCTCACAATATCAACTCCTTGCATTTGAATTCAGTTGTTTGTTATAGGCTAGTAATTCTACATCTCAAATGCACAGCAATTGGAAGAATTTCCATCTAAAAAAATGAGAGATTTCCTAATAGCGGGTGCCATGTTAAGGTTATTTCAAGGATCGTATAAGGACAAATCTATAGCAGCAGCGGTAGGAACGCTTTAAATGTTTTAGCATGCTATTTGGAATGAAGTTTGTCTTCTTCCTTCACTTATATAGGCTGCGTTTGGTACAGCATTGGGAAGGGGCTTTCAGCCCCGAAAGCCCCTTCCCAAAAATGCTGAACCAAACGGTTAGCATTGAGCATTGAAAATGCTCAAAACTAGCATTTTCAATGCTGAAAGCCCAATGCTGATCAGGACTAGCTTTGGACTTTCAGCCTTGAACTAAATGCCAAAATCATTTTTATACTTCCCAAACTACCCTCACTCAAATTTCAATATTCCGGCTTTGCCCTCTCGTTACTGTTCATCTTCTTCACCAAAGGGACTCCGGCGAGGGCAAAGGGCCGGCGACGGCGAAGGTCCGGCGAGGTCGCCCGACCCAGGCGACGGCCGCCCGGGTCGGGCGATCGCCCGGCGCGCGGCCGCTCGGGGTCGGGCAACCGCCCGTGTGCGGCCGCCACTGGGTCCCGCGACCTCGGGCGACCGTCGCCCGGGTCGCGACCCAGCGGCCGTCGGCCAGGGTCGCGCGACCCAGGGCGGCCGTCGGCTGGGTCGCTAGCGACCCGGCGGCCGTCGGCTGGGGTCGCGCGACCCGGGCGGCCGTCCGCCCGGGTCGCGCGACCCAGCCGACGGCCGCCCGGGTCGCGCGACCTCGAGCCCTCGTCGCCCGAGGTCGGCGTCCCTCGCCGGGGGTCGCTCGGCGACGGGCGACGGCCGCCGGCGCCAGATCTGGCTCGCCGGCGGCCGTAGCCCTTCGCCGGAGCCGTAGCCCTTCGCCGGAGCCGGCGAAGGGTATTTTTGCCTTTTTTTTAAAAAAACCCCCCTCAAAGCCCATTTGTAAAAAAAATTAACCAAACACCACTTGGGTCAAAATAGCTTTGCAAATGAGTTTTTACCAAACGCCATTTGCATTTTTCCTAAAGGGCTTCCACCCAAAGGCATTTGCATTCCCAAAGTAGCATTCCAAATGCTGTACCAAACGCACCCTATACTGTCATTTGCATCATCAATGATACAATTAGTAGTGCATTCTGTATGATGGAACTTTACATCATTCTCCAGAACTGATACAATTAGTAGTGCTTTAAATGATTATGCTTTCACCATGTTGTGACAATTCATAAATTCAGAGAAAGGAGACTTTCAACCTTATGATGACTTTCAACCATGCTTCGATCATCAATGATATAATTAGTACAGCATTCTGTACCATGGAATTTTCTATCATTTTGCGGAACTCTTTTCATCTTAATATTTCCATAAATGATTCTATTCTCACCTTACCATAAGAATTCATAAATTCAGAGAAAGGAGGGTTTTGCTATATAGATAAGACAGCAATGGGCCACTTTTACATATCTTGCATGGAAAACCAACAAAGGCTATTACCACACGCCTCTATGTGGCGTTCGTGGCGAACGAAGACGACTAAACCCTAACCGGCCATAACCAAAGACTACTGAAACATACTCTCAGATTGCTACAAATCGCTCATTGAGTCAGCAAGAACTGATCGTAAAATCACCATTTGATGCTTGCTAGAACTACAATTCCGAAAACACATAAACCACTATTTAAATGAGGCCTAAACTCAAGTGACTCAGATTTCGAAAGCCTAGCGCCTGAACTGTGAAATCACTTTCCAACAGAGAGATGAACAGCAAAGCCTACCCCTCCAGCCACTAAACGCAGCTCCCGCGCAGCTAGAATTGCAAAGAACACAACGCTCAGGCATATTAAATCCACTTCAGGCCAAATTGCACCGGAATATACATATCCTAGCCTCTTTTTTTTTTTACATATCCTAGCCTTCACCTGGCCTAAAAAACAGTGTTTCACCTTCACACTCGTGCAACGCAAATGCCCATTAGAACTCCTCTTCGAGGAGTTCGCGCAGCAAGCGCCAGAACACTGGAATTACTTCATAACTCTGCAGAATGAAGTAAAAAAAATGCCCTAGTAAAGTCAGTCCTCATAGCTCTAGAACTGCATTCAGTAACTTGAGCACCTTGAATACCCTAGCCATCGCTAAATTGATAAACTCCACAACCACCTCCAAACGTTGGTGCATTGAAGCTCACTTGGTTCAAAATAAAGCTCTTTCCCTGTCGAGCATGGCCGCACATGGAGACAACGCCAATCGGCTCCTTCACTAGCTGCAACACTGTTGAATGAGGTGCGCACAGATTATCAAACGGTCCACATGAATTAGGCTAACATGTTACGGGATTTTGCTAGAAAGACTCCAAAATAAAAGCTGAGCAAGGAAGCTGATGAGAAACCAACAGGAAGAGAATGTCCTATTAAAAATGTCCATGTCAGCCCGGCCATCCGCCGACTGTGCCACGTAGGACGCCCGGTATCCACGTTAGCGATTTCCGGCCTAAATTGGCCGGATGAGCTGAATTTGTACCAATGTGAATAGATTTAGGATTAAATTGATTCAATTGAAAGGTTTAAGACCAAATTAATACAAATGCAATAAATTTATGATTTTTTTAGTACTTTCCTTACAATAAGGCCTGTCGCGACCGAACTCCCGAGCCCTTTTTTAAACAACAACATGCAAAAAAAGGGAGGCTCGCCTGGTACGTGCTAAGTCTAGGTTTGGGACTTAACTCGGGCTCTCCCAAGCCCATACCATATCGCGACTTAGGGTTTAAGTTTTTAACATGCAAGTGGTTTATATCAAGGAGTCGCCACTAATCGATTTGGGGTGGGTCGATTAGAAACCCAAATAGGGTGATGGGAGAATCACCCTATTCCTGCGAACCAGAGATTAACTGAATTCGGGGACTTGGTTACACTAGTTGGATAACTAATGCCCTTTCGGTACCTTTTTACCCTGTTCATTTCATGAAAATATTTGTCAGGCAATTTAGATTGATTTTAGGACCTTTCTCCTAACATGTGAGGTGATCAAGCGAGTGCATAATCAGGAACGATCAGCAGTCAGGAACACAGCAATTCATGCAGCCTAAGGTTCTAACCTTAACTAAGTCAGATGACATTAAAAAAAAAACAACACTCATGCAATTGTATTAAAAACATGCATAACAATACAACGGTAATAAAAACTAACATGCAAAATACTACCGTTCAATCTCAGGCTTGTCTAATTTAAACAAGACAAAAACTTACAAAATAATACTACGATAAATTAAACACTCAGATATAACATAATTAAAAAAAAAAGTTTTTTTTTTATTTTTTTTTCGAAAGAAAAAATAATAATAATAATAATAAATAAAAAATAAGTAATACAGAAAAAAAAAGTAATTTAAAAAAAAATTTTAAAAATTTTTTATTAAAATTTTTTTATTTTTTTTTATTTTTTTTAAAAAATAATATTATAATAAAACCGGGTCGGGCGGATCCGGGTCGGAACCGACCCGGGTCAACGGATCCGACCCGGGCGTTGACCCGGGTCGGATCGGCTGATCCGGGTCGGTTCGACCGACCCGAGTCAACGGATCCGACCCGGGCGTTGACCCGGGTCGGATAGGCTGATCCGGGTCGGTCGGAACCGACCCGGGTCAACGGATCCGACCCGGGCGTTGACCCGGGTCGGGTCGGCTAATCCGGGTCAGTCTGACCCGAATTCACAGACCTGCGAGGGGGGGAGGCGCCGGCGGAGCCAAAATTGCCCGTCCGCCGGCTGACCCAGACCTCCGCCGGCCCAAAACCGGCCTTTGGGAACGCCGCCAAGCCTCGCCCCCACAGGTTCTTCGTCCAGACCACCGCTCGCCGTACGGCGACCGAATTAAAACCGGCCTCACGAGGCATTTCAACAAACACTCGGCGTGCGTGACCAAAACGAGATATTCGAGGCTGTTCCGTGACCGGTGGACTCGAGCGACCCAACATACCTTCGGTGACGACACACGGACGGCGGGGGACGGCGGTATGGGCCGGGACTCGCGCGAAACGGCCGGCGCGGGTCCCGGCCAAACCGAGCATAAAAACAGGGGAGAACAGAGGCGGACGGGACCCCGAGAAAGCTCATCGGTCGACGACGCGTACGGAGGGGCTTCCGGCTGGTCAGGGGGGCGTTGGCGAGGCGACGGGCTTCCTTCTCACGGCCCGAGGACTCTCAGTTCACTCTCTATCTCTCTATTTTCGCTCAATCTCTCCCTCCCCTCCGGTGCTCTGTTTTGGCCGAGAATGACCAATCGGTCGGGGACGTCGGCTCGGTGGATCGTTGGCAACTCTGGCTCGCCGGGGGCACTCCTGCGGCTGTGTTATTCCACCTGTAAGCCAAAATATCGGAAAATTTTCACCCGATCTCTCTCTTTCTCTCTCGGCTTCTCTCTGCTCTGTTTTTTGTAAAACGGCCGACCGGGGGTGTTTCCGGGGGTTGCCGGTCGGATTGCTGGAGACGGCGAGACCGGCTGGGACCTGCGAGACGCTCCCAGGCTCCTCTCTCTTCTCTGTTTTTTTTTTATTCTCTCTGGGACTCTCTCTGTTTTCTCTCTATGCTCAAACCGACCGAGAAAAGACCCCCCTCCTCTCTCTCTCCTCTCTTTGGCCTGTATAGCCGACGACGACGCTCGCTCTCTGCTCCGTTGCGTCTGCTGACGATGGCCTGCACCGGCCTATCTGCCCCGCGACTTTCGCGGCCATAGCAGGCCGGTGCAGAGCAGAGCAAAAAGGGGGGGCCGAGAGGAACAGAGAACCGAGAGGGAGGAGGGGATAAGGGAGAGGGGAAATGGGGAGGACGGAATGGCCAGTCCCGTCGGCGTGCTCATCCGGCTCTCCTCTGGCCAGACAGCGAAAGCGAGAAGCGGCGCCGCCGTGCGTCACGCTTCCGTCGCGAACAGGGGAGAACAGGGGCGAGGAGAGCGACCGGCGCAGGGGGAAGAGAAGGAAAGGAAGCTGGGCCGGGCTGGGCCCAGCCGCGGGGGGGGAGAGAAAAAAAGAAAAGGAAGTGGGCTGGGCCCGCGTGGGGGAAAAAGAAAAGAAAAAAGAATGGGCTAGGCCCATGCGGGGGGGGGGGGGGAAAGGAAAAAAGAAATGGGCCGGGTCGGGCCCGGTCCGACCCGGACCGACTCGATTTTTTTTTTTTTTTTAATTTTGTTTAAAATTTAAGAAAATATGCTCTAATAGGTCCTATTAATATACATATGCCTAATGTCTATATGCAATGCATTTAAATAGAAATATTTTTTTGTTTTAGGAATTAAAGAAAATTAATTCCTAAATTTTGTGTAATTAATTTTGGGCAAATTAAAAATAGGTGTCAACAAGGCCAAAAAAGAAAGTTAAACAAAAGAACATTCTGGGAAGTGGGTGCTGGAATCAAGGGATTTCTCGGGTCTGAGAAAGAAATCAGCGTCGATATGTTCTGATTGTCCTGATGCACAGAGAGAGGCCATTGCATCTAACCCTGACTCTGAGAAAGTACTGCTTAGAGATCGGCTAATAAACAGAGCTAATACCCTTCAAATACGGCATCTATGAACACGAATGAGCAGACCACATACACGCATACCAAAAGTTCTTGATGTTGACACGCTTCTGTTTTTTTAGTAGCTGCGCCTATTTGAGATCTCAACCTACTGATCAATGAACAATGGTCACTGTCCTTTGTCATGATGATAAGCATCAGTGCTTCTCTTTTGTAAAAGGGCCTTACGATATGTCATGATCTGTCGCAATCATCGGCGAAACCTTGGATCCCAGGGGAAGATAGGACAAGCCACCAGATAGTACCATGAGAAATATCATCTGAAAAATCGTAGTATTCGGTGACAAGTGTCTCTGTCATGAGACTAGACAAACGAGTGCTTGAAGACATGCCAATTGTTTACTGGGAATAGCTGAGTTGCATTTACAGTGGATTGTCTGGTAACCTGTTATCACTTATAAAGAACAATTATGTGCATTCTTAGAGACTTAAACTTCTTCGGTTGATCCTCAGCAAGGCCAGGAGAAAACCCAGAATGAAAAGAACTATACACAAACTATGGCAGATGGAAATAAGAAAACCCCTTATCATTGTTTGCATCACGCATCTCATTGCTTCGAATACAGATGCTATTTAACAAAAGAATCACATCTGGCACTTCAACATGACCAATCTCCGAAGAAGTTTAAATATACCCACGCAGATGGCTCAGGGATATACAAGGTTCAAAATTTCCCTCGTTCAAGAATTCTCCACCGGGTATCTGGAAAAGAAAAAACTGCAAGTGTTCCATGGGAATGGCAAGTATGAAGATCTTCAGAAGTCAAAATGTCGATCTACTTGATAAAACTAGAACTAAACATGTGCAACACAAGGTTATTGCAGTAACCTTCTAAGCCCAGCGGCATGGTTAGAGAAGTGTGAGGGATATAGCAGCAGAGCGGAGGCGCACTCCATCATCTTCCCATTTGGACTGCGGTGCTGTTGCTCCAGCAATAAATGCCTGTAGAGGACAAACCATGCATTCATAAGAAATGTAAGAGGAAAGAGTCTTCTCTTCAACCTTCTTTGCGTGCAAAATTGCGAGCTTCGTACCATTCCTTCTTATTGGTGTCATTCAGTTCCTCTAACACCATCCCCATGTACTTCTAAGAATGTATACGCTACGAGCTTCCGCATCATTAATTGGAAAAACCTCATACAATCAATACATCATTTCTTGGGAGGAGTATCATTAAGAATGTTCTAAAATTTGGGCGTGAAAATAGCATACTAACTCTTGGAGCGAGCAGGTTGACATTACTCAAAGTTTCTAAGCTTTTAGAGTTCAATGAATGTGGTTAAGACCTTCTACCAGCAAAGTTCCCCAGTAAATTTCTTGAAGTGTCATCTCTGTATGACAAAGGAGTTTAGCAGTTGAAGGGCGTCAACTAACCTTTCCACTGTCTACAGCAGCAACCAGCGCAACACGTTGCTCATCTCTAGAGAATTCATAGAAGTAATATGTCCTGTATCAATAAAGCAATACACCAGTATGGATTATCATGCACAATCCAACATGTTAAAAGTAGGATAACATTTTACATTTTAGTTATCAAGTGGTAAATTTGCATAGTCTATCTGCTGATAAAGAAATTGCTGCTGCACTAACAACGGCCACTGAGATTGGAGAACTACAACATTTCCAGCAAAGTGAATAAACTCACTTGAAACCTTCTTCTTCTTTTATTTTGATATTTCGGGCAGAGTATAATGTTGAGCCACCTGCCATTGCAATGCAGTCTCAAAAATTCTGAAGACACATATTGGTGAGAAACCACTCGGTGGCAGAATCTTACCCGGAACGAAAATTTTTGCAGCCTCCCTCAAGGAACCCAAGGCGGTAATATCTTGGGCCTGTAAAGGTTTGTAGTCAATGACAATCCCAAAAAACAGAACACAAGACAGTCGATCAAACATGTAACAAAAAGGATCCAGACCCATTGAAATGTAGCACCAGCACTACCAATTTGGCATTTTTTTAATGATAAATTTGCAAGTTAATACTCTAGGTGCAGCAAAGCGTAAGTCAAAATGGAGGATAGCGTAATTTCTATATCATTTTTAATTTTTGTGGGAGCTAGGTAAGATGGGGCTTAATATCTTTGTAAGGAAAGCTTACACATCTTCACGGGTCTCTATTCAGCTGCCAAAAGGTTATCCTTCACTTCTCTACAGTACAAATCCTGCTTCTTGTTGAGAATTCTCATAGTTTTTTGCTAGGACATCTTTAGGCCAGCAAAATGAGCCTTATCCTCCCAATAGAGGTAGAAACTAAGTGCATTATATACCTTTAATCCAAAAAGACAGACCGACAGCCTCATTCTTCAATTTTCTTGACTAATTGCAAAGCAAACTCCCATAATGAATGCAACACATAGTGAATGAAAAAAATGGAGTCCCACTACAGTCACATCACAACAGCTATTCGATAGCAAAAACCTCTTTCAAGAATCCTAATAGCATATCATAAGAATCCAGAATTTGCTATTTTATACACACCAACCTCCAAAAATGTGATCTTGAGTTGGTTGGTTGGGCGAATCACAACACTTAAGACTTCAGATCTGCATCAGATTAGCATTGAAGTAACTGTTAATATAAATGTCTGTCAAACAACTAGGGTCTACCGTCTAGCAAAGAGACTAGAGCTTACAATTATCAGCCAATTGCCAAGAAACGGAGATGCAAACTAATATGAACAGCTCACAACATGAGTAACATACCCATCCGGCGATGCAAACCGGGCTGCAAATGTTTTCGGTTTTGCCTTATCTCCATAAAGAGACAAGCCAGCATTAAAATCCTGAGATCACCAAATCTTTTAGAAAACAATCAACAAGAGAGAATGTGATGAGACAGAATAGCCAACAGTTTTAATCTCTCAAATGATTATTCAAAGATTGTAAATCACCCGAGACTACCTTTTTACCGTTGGACCAAAAAAATCAAATCTTTCCACAAAAAAAGATAAAAGCCCACCAAGATTGATTGCTCAATAAAAAGAACCATCTTAATAACAATCCGCACACTTTATAAGCAATTCCCACTTACCAAAAAAGATAACAGAAACTTTTTCTTTGGTGAAACAAGCAATTTGTAGTGACTATCAGACAATACAGTCCAACACGCCAAGAGAGCTATACCTGGGGCTCCGTAATGTCCTCGAACTGAGGTGGGACGCGAATTGCGAACCCATCGCCATAAAACTGGAACCACGACTTGGTATTGGCGATTCCCAAAGGAGCTGACTTTGGAGGTGACGACGGTTCAGCTGAACACTGAGAGAATGTCCATGTGGGTGTGAGCGAAAAGATCAAGAATCTAGTTGTCTTGGAGATGCATTCTCTCTTTGAGAGTTTAATGAAGTGAAGGTCATTATCTTTGGAGGAGGAGGAGGAGGAGGAGGAGGAGATGGAGGGGATGTTTGGTGGGTGGGGAGAGAGGGACAGGCAAATGGGAAGAACCATTTGGGAGAGTGAGGGTAATAATATTCATGGTTGCAGAAAAAAATTGGACGGAGATAATGTGGGGTAAGAGTTGAGACTTTGGTGCGTGCCATTGGGGTTGGTAGTTGGAAGAGCATTGAAAAAGTGAGGGGTACTTCCGGCATAGATGAAATCACTATGAGTGTCCTTTCACAGTACCAATACAGACAAATTAGTGGCATTTGCCCATCACTAAAGTAAAATTTGTGAAACAATAAGATAGATGGATCGTCTTTTGCAAAGGAGATTACATATTACAAAGAGAAAGTTATGTCGTATTTAAAGTTTGAGACGAAATATGATTTTGGTCATGCATTCGACATTTAAATCGTCGGAGGTTTGGTTTCTAACCGAATCAATAGACTGATTTAGATTTTGAGGTATTTCATTTTGTCATAATTTACCAAGAATCCGTAAACCGTGTTTAATGTGGAGATCAAGATTTCGGTTTCTGTAGTTGGAATAATGTCTGCTCATTTAAACAGAGGAATTATCCAATACACAAAATGAGGCCTCAAGCTGTTTTCTTAACCTCTTAACTTTAACTGCCAAAATGACATCGATGTGTTCTGCAAAGTGGACCAAAAAGCCCTCAACTCTTTCCATGGCTAACGCAGACGCTATCCTCCACCAAATATCAGCCAAAAATCCAAACACGAACAAACGTCATCCACCCAAAATCTGAAACCAACACAAACCCGGAACACACAGCGAGCACAGCGAGCAATCCGAAGAATTTGCTATGTATTGTCCTCTCTTTGTCATGATTCACAGATTCTGAAGGCCGTTTGATCTCTTAGTTATGGAGACCATTCTCTCTCCTCGTTCACTCTCTCCACTCATCACTCCCAAACCAGGCTTTTCTTCGAAATCTCCCCAACCCAGATCAAGCACTCTCTTTTGCACCAAACCCATCTCTTGCATCCTCAAAAGACACCATATTGAGTCAAAAAACCCATCATTCAGTGAGACCAGGAGCTGGTTCTCTCATGCTCAACAAGGACTAGCAGCTCTAGCTCTCACTCTGGCACTCAACTTTTGCCCTGTATCTTTAGGCAGTCCTGCATTGGCTTCTGAGTTCGATGTAATCAGCGAGGGACCACCAAAGGAGTCTTATGTCGTTGATGATGCTGGAGTTCTCAGCCGGGTCACAAAGTCTGACTTGAAACGGTTGTTGTCTGATGTGGAGTCGAGGAAGAACCTCAGAATCAATTTCGTCACTGTCCGAAAGCTGACTGTAAGTTCTGTGGCATTACATTCTGTTAATTTTAAGCCATTTTGCGTCTGACGAGTGCAGATTCTTGTAACCTTTATATTGCAAATATACTCCCTTTCATTTCCTATCCTGATGAAATTGACTTAGAAAGATAAATTCGATATATAGGAGTGACATATAATGGCACTCAAACGTAGCATATAGACTTATCTTTATTCGCATTTCAACCGATCTCATCATTGAGATGGAAACTTCACGACAGGGTGTTCACGACTTGATCTGATGTATGAGCCACTTGAAAGTAGAATAGTGCCTTAGTATTCTAACTGGCGTGGCAAAATACCGGTGGGTATTCAATCAAGGCGGACATATTCAACTCCTGGTTAGAATTTGCCACAGTATACCGATTTTGTACACCATTTACACCTAGAATTTTTCCTTGAAAATATTGAAAGCTCATGGGATTATTGACCAGCGAGCATATCAGTGCTCTCTGCATACTTGTATTATTTCCTAGGCTGCGTCATTTTTTTTAAGCAGCTCCCACTTCATTTTGTGTGTGCACAGCAAGAGGATGATAGTTCATGATGAGATTATGCGGCGATGTAAATCTTGATTTTGCTGCAGAGTAAAGCTGATGCTTTCGAGTATGCTGATCAAGTTTTGGAGAAGTGGTATCCAACAGTGGAAGAGGGCAACAACAAGGGCATTGTTGTTCTTATCACAAGTCAAAAGGAAGGAGCAATCACAGGAGGCCCTGAGTTCATCAAGGCTGTCGGAGATAATATCCTCGATGCAACCGTCTCAGAAAATCTTCCAGGTAAGATTGCATTTTCTCTTATGTGATTTACAGTCCGTGGCTGCTTTCTCTAATGGTCAATGGGTCAGAAAATCCAAGTTTGTGGTTGACTATTGAATTTGAGAAATTCTTGTCTACTAGGTGCTATGCTTGTCCTTTGTTGACAGCCGCTTGTGGAGAATAAATTTTCCAACAAGGATGATCCTCTTAATAATCCTTGCTGTGTTCTATAAGCATCTGAATCTAGAGTTACCCTTCTCACGCATGCAATAATGTCGGTGACATACATCAAATGTGCCCATATTTTAAGGCCAAAGTTGCCTTATTCTGTCCAAATGTCAAGAGTTATTAGAGATTCTTGCTAGTTTCTTTCACCACATCCTAGGAGACGCTTCCATTAGTACAAATGGGTATGCATGTACCAAAAAGAAAAAAAAATTGTGTTTAATGGGGTGTTATGATGTTTTAAGTTAATGGAGCCCATATCAGACTATGCTAAGATTTTTACGAGAATATATACATTCCTCACTTAAAGAGGAAGCTGGGTTCTGCTCCCTGATGCTGCAGTACTGATAATCAGATTACTGGTTTATACATTGCAGTATTGGCAACAGAAGAGAAGTACAATGAAGCAGTTTTTAGCAGTGCCAAACGGCTAGTCGCTGCCATTGATGGGCTCCCGGATCCGGGCGGGCCTGCAACCAAGGACAATAAGAGAGAATCCAATTTCAAGACCAGGGAAGAAACTGAGGAGAAAAGGGGGCAATTTAGTCTTGTAGTTGGTGGTTTGTTGGTAATTGCATTTGTCGTCCCGATGGCACAATATTATGCTTATGTCTCCAAAAAATGAGCAAATGTATATCTTTATTTGCTAATACTTCTCCGAATTTCTCCTGCACTGATTTAGAAGGAGCATGTTCAACAACCACGGTTCTGAATACTATAGATAAATGTTTGAGAAGCTTGCACATAACACTATGGTTTTGGCATCTGAGCAGTATCATAAGTATCTTATTTTGTGTTCTCTAACTGAAACAGTCTTGTTTTTTTTTTTGGTCGGAAAAAGTCTTGTTTCTTCAGTATACATTTTTGCAGTATACAATGGGCAATTATAGATGCATGAAACTTCATTGTTTGAGCGGATCCACAAGTAGAAGCTCTTTCCAGCCCTGCATACTTGTATTAAACCATAGATATCCACTAGATTGCATTGCACCGAGTCGAATGATTACAACAAATTGTCAAGTGCATCATACTCTGTTAGCATATAGCAAATCAGTAATCACTCAAATACATGAGTTGTCATTTGACTATCATGTGTGGCTTTTAGGATTTTCGTGTCCAACAGATGCTGAGAAAATGTCAAATTTTTGAAGCTGTAGAGGATGATCATCCTTCAGAACTTGAGCTTCATTGCAAAAGGCATCTTGTCTGCAAAAGGCGGATCTGAGTATCTTCCTGTTAGTATTTGAGAGGAAACGAACTGGTTGGCAGCCTCGGTGTAATGAATCCCGTCCCAATTGACATACTCGGTGCTGTCATCGCACGCTTTGGCCGTGACTGTGGTCCCGTTAAGAACCTTTGTTTGTCCACAAGAAATCCTGCTGTCATAGTTCAGGGATGCGCCCCCATAGCCACAACACGCCATGAGCGGTTGCTCAAATCCTGTTAAACACATTACAGAATAATTGATCTTTCTTCCCAGATTCAATCTTCTATAAATTAATCATCCAAGTTCAAGATGAAGAATCTTGTTGTCACAAACCAGCAGTAGATGTTCCAAATCAACCATGAGACCTTAATTCTTCTCTTATGCAATCACAAATCTAGGAACTGGCAGGATGAAATATGCCATGGATGAAATTGAGGAAGAGGCAATTGCAGGCCGCGACTTACCGTAGCGGGAATAATTGGCGATGAGGTTGGACTTTATTGAGAAAATATCAACGTATGTGATATTTGCATCAGTGTATTGGCCCCGCAATTTCGTGCATAGAGCATGGAGTTGCAAGTTGAAAAGCTTAGCTGCTTGGTTGTGTCCGCTGACGCATCCGATCTCATCCAGCTTTGATGGATCAGTCCCAAACCTTGCAACGTTCTGAGTTATGCATCCAAGAGGACCCGTGTTGTGTATCCAAAAATTTCTACCCCCTTGATCATACAATGTCTGTAACAAGACAGCAAAGTAAATTGGAGCAGAATACATTTTTATCTTCTATGCTAGGTCCATTCCTGATTATGTACATCCTTGGATAGAATTCCTGTATATGTCAAAATTATGAAACGGGTGTGTGCGAAGTTAAAAGAACGATGAACATGCTGTCATCAGGATGAAATGTACCTTGAATCCATTTTCAAATTCTACGAGAATTGTGGGAATCAAGGCGAGTATCTGATCCAACGACTTGGAGTAAAATGGACCAGCAAGGTCATTCTGTCCTATATCAAACATGTAAAGGCCCCCTGCAAAGTAATCTTCTGCTGGTAGATACTTGTTAAGCTTCTTACCTGGAACAGAATTTATCAGAGAGGCATGAAATTGTCAATGGCTATTGACAGCAAAGCTTTTTGTGAAGTTGAGGGAAAACAAGAAAAGAAAAAGATTAAAAACCTTTGGCCAGCAACTCGAGCACACGGGCTTTAAAACGGAGAAACTGAGACACCTGAACTCCGAATGAAAATGGGCTCAGTGATGTTGCAGTCGCCGGAAGTATAGTAGACGCCGCCGTTGCAAAGTTGCAACCTCTCCGGAAATTTGGCGTGCCGATTGAATCTAGATAGGCATTTAGGAATGGAAGGTCCATTGCATCCACTGCAGCATCAAACAAGACGCGTTCAATTTCTATTCTCGAAAGCAAATTCCATCTAGATAATAGAAAAGAAACATAATAAATAGCAGCAACAACAGCAAAGCATGAGCAGAATGAAGAAATAGAACAAACAATGACATGACACCAACAAATTGAAACAGAGAATCCAAGCAACATCAAAAGCGTTGTTCTTGCATTGATTGGTGATTTACTCAGGTAATCGATGATGAGACGGCCATCGCAGTATCGCCCGGACGGCTGCTGGAAATAGCTCAGGCCATTAGGAGGGTTGAGGCTCTCGATCCCGGCCGCGATGAGATTGCCCGTGTCGGAATTGGAGTCGCCGAAGTTGAAGACAGCAGGGAAGTCGAAGAGATCGATCGAGTTGCCAAGAGGGAATAAACAGAGCAAAGCCAAGATGGCAATGCAGGTCTTGGCGGCCATGGATGATGGTGCAGGAAGCTTGTGGTTTTCTCTTTAATGTTAGTTACCAACAACATGTAGTTCATGGTCCCCTCTCATGATTGGAAAAGAAATGCTTTCTTTTATTATGGGTCTAGGTTGCTTTCTAATGAAGGAAACCCATATAATAAGATAATTAAGAAGAAAAGTCTTCATGTTTTCTGTCTTTGTTCACCGACTTGAGGGTATAATTCCACAAAATCTTATCTTATTTCCCATATGCTCTACAAAACTAGTTTGACAATGTTAGTCTATTAGAATACTATCTTTTGTGCTGCAGAACCTTTTCCTCACATTTTTTGTAGGACAACCATCATGCAGGAGACAATTTACTGTTTTTTCACATGTTTAATATTTATCCACTATTTTTCGACCAAAAAAAGAAAAGAATATTTATTCACTATTCACGGTAGACACATGTGACTTAATTCTTGTTTGCTAGTTTGAGCTCACAGACCACAAACTCCACAGATATAGCTGAAAACAATCTATCTCCAACAGTACAAGCATATGGATGGCATGAGCAGCCTGCAATCTGCATTTTTCCAAGTGAATGATGGGTAACTAGTTCACTGAGCATGCAATATGCATTTTTCCAAGTGAATGATGGGTAACTAGTTTACTGAGAAAATCGACGATGAGACGGCCGTCGCAGAATCTCCCCGACGGGGCCTTGAAGTAAGTCTGCCCGTTGGGAGGGTCCAAGCGGATGCCGAGCGCCGCGACGAGGTTGTCGGTGTCGGAGTTCGAGTCCCCGAAGTTGAAAACAGCTGGGAAATTGAAGTCAGTGGAGGTTGCAAGAGGCAAGAAGAAGGGAAATGAGAAGAGAACTTGGAACAGAGGGAACAGAGGGAGGATTTTGGTGGGCATGGCTGTTTTGGGGGGGTCTTGTGCTGTTGTTCTGTGTGTGATAACTTTTGCAATGGGGCCTTTTGGGCTGGTATTTATGTGAACAGTCAGGGATTGCTTCAAGCCATTGGAGGTGGCAACATGAATGCCCTAAGCAAAAGATTTACTCGTTTTTCCTTTAAATTACGATTCTGCCACTGTCCTTTCAAGTGACTAAACTGCCCCTGGTGGATACAATTCAGCTATAAGCACCTCAGCAAAACTGCAAAGGTCAGTTGTAATTTTGCTGTGGTTGACTAATCTCTGACCAGCTCATGGTCATTGCATTTGTAGCTAAATTAATAATCTGAGAAACATGGTTGATGAAATTATTTTTTTTGTACTTTTAAAAAAATGAGATGATAGAGAATACGATATGTAATTCACTTTATTATTAAAACGAGTACGGGACAAAGATATACCGTGTATATCACTTCATTCAGATGCCGAAATCGATGACGCACCGATCCATACTTATTGATGTCCAACTTCCAAAGTATCCACCAAAACTACCTAAGTCAATTCTCTAATATTTTGTAATTTCAAGGCCTGGGATATTTTCCTTTTTTTTTTGGTAAGAAAGTAATGGAAAACAGCTGCTGTTAGTTGGCTTGTTAGCAATCTTAGTAATCAAAGGGCAAAAAGCAAAAATGAAATTTTGGAAAAGCGTTTGAGAATTTGAGTAAGCAAGGTGGCCACCATTCTGCAAGCAAGATTTTCCTTGCAAGGGCAGCAAAAAATAATTTTAACATGGAAAATAGAATAAGGAAAAATCAAGAAAAATGTTTGAAAATTACTCGGAGCGTTCGGGGGGGACAAAAAGAAAAGGAATAGGGGAAAACAATCAAAGAAAAGGAAGGGGACGCCTTATAATATGATTTATACTCATAGCAGTATCTCCATTTATAAGTAAAGGTATGCTTCCCAACCAAAAAAAAAAAGTAAAGGTATGCTTTTGTTTTTTTTTTTAAATGCAGTACATTTTCCATATATAAGTCAATGTAAATTATGCATTTGAGAATTTTAATGTCATTTTTCTGTCTAAGAATTAATCATATAAACACAACAAGTCCATTAGTCCAGAAATATTTTACATGTACCTGTATACATTTTCTATAATATACCTATGCAACAATGGAGATATTTCCAATAAATTAAGTCTTTTCTCATGCCATGATTATTAATAGTTTGACTTATCTTTTACATGTGAATAAAATCAATTAATTAGTATACTAAAAGAATCTGTCAAAGATTGATAAAAGTATCTAGATAAAGTTACCGAACTCTCTCGCAAACTTATGCTTTGAAAAAATTTAACTATGCATAACAAGTGAACTTTAAATCCAACGAACGCATGTCTCCATCCTTCTATATAAATTTAAATCGTCCAATAAAAAAAAATCACAATTCATTTTGTCGAGTATCTCATAAATTGGAATTTGCTTAAGCTTATCTCCTAAATACCCTAGTTCTTCTAAAACGAGATAAGTTTATTTATGTAATTTTATAGATCAGAAAACGAAAATCCAAAAAGGATCCATTTTTTTACTTAAATCTCAAATCCGGCTCGAACAATTTGAAAATTTCACTTCGAAGAGATCAGATTTGGGACTCGAGTAAAAATTGGTGCTTTTTTTGAGAATTAGACTTAAGTTTTTATCTGTTTTTTTTTTAATGAGTTTCGGATGAATTTGGGATTTTCGTTATACCTGAAATAATCAGATTCGAGATTTCATTTTTCAAGCCCGACCCAGACCCGAAAACCCGATCCAAACCCCATCCTCCGCTTCTCGCCGGCTCCCTCCGCTGCTGCTGCTGCTGCTCATAACTCCCGTCGAGGGTGTTGCAGAGAAGAAATATTTCCTGAACAAATGGAGAAGCAAACTGCGAGCCTCCATTTGGTCTCTGCGTTTCTCGCCATGGAACCCACTGGCTGCGTGATATCCCACGCGAGGTAACGTCTTCTCTGTCATCCTCTTAGCGCGCGCTTCGCCGAGCTCACCAGTTTTATGTTTTTTTGCCGTAAAGATGCTCCTTTTCGCCTGTTCTTTAGACTCTCTAGATTCTGTGGGCATTGAATTTGAAGCAATTGTCTCTTCTGTTCGAAACCCAGATCGCTCGGTGGTGGGTCCGTGACGGTGGATGCTCAGAGGTTCATTTGGGATCATTGCATCAGTAAAGCTGTAAGTTTTGATTGAGAGGTTTTCCCAAACTTGAGAACCCAAAACGAAAAACTAAAAAAAGATGTCTCAACTGAAGTGTCTTTTAAGTTCAGGTCACATGTTGATGTTGGTTTAGGAAATACGTGAAAGAAAAAGATCTTTTGTGTTTCCTCTGAGTCATATCTGCTGAAGTGAATGTTCTTGTACTCGTTGACACCACATAGACTGGCCGAAATGATTATATGCTTCTGTGGAAGTAGTTGTTCTTGTTGCTACTATGGAGTTGTTGCTCTTGCTTAGTAATACTAGCTCAGGTATTAGTTATTGAGTACCAGGTTCATTGCCATCTGTTTTTGCTGCATTTTTTTAGTGAAAGACTGTTACTGCTTGATTCTCTGAACCGGCGGCGTGTTGTTGCAGATTGGCAAGTGTCATGCTCCGTACTTGAAAAACTTTGTGAAGAAGCTCATATTGGAAATTGAGTCTAATCGTGATGATGTGCTAGATGAATTGTATGAACTGTACACCGAGTTCATGACTTCTTTAAAGGTAAAGCTCATTGTTGTTAAATTTTTCTTTCAGAATTACGTGTCCCGTTTCTCCTGGTTTATTTATTAATCCTCAAGCTACCAACGACAGAGTCTTTTTTCATTAGGATGAAAATGCAGTCAAAGGGACTGAGAGGGCTTTGAAATATATTTCTTTTCTTTTCCCAGATGGTAACTTTCTTTTTTCAGGTTTATTTTTTTTTGTTCGCTTGAGTTATAATTTTTTGTATGCATCATCCGGATCTTTGGCTAATAATTTCCTAGATGCAAGTTGTGAGGATGCAATGGTAAGGGAATTGGTGGTTCCACTGCATTGTTCGCTCAACATGCTTGAAGGAGATACAGGGTATGTATGGTATTGGTTCATGTATATTTTTGAAGAACTGAATGCTTGTCCTGGGTCATATGTTTCGTATTCTTCAACTAGATTAGGCATGGATGTAGATTCCTTCTTATTTTTTTTGGCAAAAGAGCGCATTTTTATATTAGTTATGAAGACGGTTTTAATCACAGATGTTTTATTGTCTCATGCATTGTGTGGATTTATGTGCCGACTGAAATTAGCTTTCAGTCCATTCTCTCATCAGGTGTTCGATCTGGCCTGCAAGTCTATTTTTGTCAGAGTTCATACTATCCTTTCCGGATATGTTCTCCAGCAAAACGTGTTTTGAAGTAAGCCGTCCAAAGTGCATCAGAATTTCCAAATAAACATGGGTGTTATGGGTTCAATTTTCTTGATTTATCCACGTTAGATTTGGTTCTGTTATAGACATTCGATTAGAAAAGTTTTGCCAACCTTATTATTTTATTTTCTGTAGTAACATTCTAATACATCAGATCCAGTGGCCTATGAAACACCGCAGAGATCAGCGTTGTTGTCACATAATCACTTGGCCTTCTATTCCCTTCCCCCTTTATCTAATTAGTTCAATCTCTTTTAACTTTATATATCATGCATTAGAATTGATTTCAGGTACTGACTAGAATATTGGACATAGGTTGGCTCAGGGGTTGGCTTAGTTGGTATATGTCTCACCCATGTGAAAGCTTCCAAGGTACTGTCCTTGTGCTTCAAGCTCCTTTCTGCTTATGTTTTTTTCTTTTACTCGAACCTTCATATGTTTATGCATTGTTCTTATTCCATCAATCAGTTTATGTAGATATGCTAGGGTTGTGCTCACTATGGTTTTGGCAAGCAACTCGTTTGCTGTACTTGGTTCTTGGAATTGTTCTTGTTCTTATCAGCTGGATATCAAAAGCTGATTTGGTTGTGAAACTAGCGATCTGTCCTTCAGCACAGATACAAACTTGGCTGAACACGCTGGACATAGTTTCATGATGATACATGATTAGCAGTTTAGAAATTGACCGTATTCATGCAGGTAATATTAAGTGACGGTGACCTATCAACTTTAAGCAACATGAAGCTTAATTTGAAGATGAATCAATTGAGCACGGATGATGATGAGCCAGTGTCTTCAGAATGTACAGATTCTGTGAGTGATCATGTCCTTGCACATTCAACCCTAAGCACCCACTTTTTCGAGTTTTTAGTTTCATTGTTCACATACACACACACACCATAGTTTTCCTTCTTAGATCCCACGGTAGATATATCTTTAATTGGTATGGTAGACATTATTGCCATGATGCCTTTACCTAAAAGAGTAGTCTGCTGCACAACTTCCCCATTAGTCCATTAATTACTTCGATAGTGGTGTGTTTTGTCCTCTTCCATTGAAAAATTGATTTTCTCAAGAAAAGCATGACTTCGAATGAGGTCTTCTCAGTCAAGCGCTGATTGTCCATCTGGGCAATGTTCATTTTCTGCGATCATGTGGATCTTGATGCAGTTTGACCATGCAAAAATTGGAGAAATAAGAAATGAAATTAATATTATTTCCTCATCCCAGGTCAAATGTTTACACCTGCCTTGGGAATGTGCATCTGAGAGTGAACTGCAGGGACTTAAACCGGATATAATGTGAGTACTTTCTCCACCTACACACTTTTGCTGTTGAGCATTAATCTGAGATATTCGGTGGTTTTCTCTATTCATCAATCTATGAAGGAGTAATTTCTCCTTTTCTACAGCTTAGGTGCTGACGTGATATACGATCCGTTGTGCCTGCCACACCTTGTGCATTTATTCTCCATTCTTTTGGATAAAACAAAGTCATCTTTGCGATTCCCGAGAGTAGGTTGTGACTGTGCAATTGGCGGTTCACATGAATACAGCGATGGCTGTGATGCCCAAGATGTCGTGGCAGCTAGCGATAGTGCAGGAAATGCCAGTCCCACTGAGCATCCGATGGCTTACATTTCGTCTGTCATCCGCAATGCCGATACTTTCGGTCATTTTCTTGCTTTAGTTGACGAGGCAAACCTTGCCATCATGGACCTGACCAGAACTCATCAACCTGCCAGTTCGCTTCCTTACATGCAATCATACGATAGATCGAGCATGCGACTGTTCAGGCTCTCAAGCAAATGAGGTTCGCTGTTTCTACCTTAAGAATAATGTGATGTACCCCGTTTTCGGATTAGCATGCTTGCGCAGGCACGGATTGCACATTGTCCTGAGAGTGATCCACGTCTATCCTCTTATTTTTTTGCTTGGCCTAAGTGATTTGATGTATGGACCAGCGACCATTGTTGTAGTAATTTGAGTTATGAGAGGATATGCTTCATCCACACTTGTATGCATGATGCTTACTCGACATTGAGATACTTTGTAGGACGGTAGCGGAATGAAATTTTTCAACAATGACAAATTATGATGATCATACATCTTTACTTGGATGTGCCGACCCGAGTTTTTCGGGTGTTGTAAATTTCTGAATAGTTAAAGCTCTTTGTAATGTCAAAGTGAGAGGCTAATGAAATCGACGGGTGAAGTACCCTTTCTTGGCCTTTTGGCTAACGTGATTGGAGCATAACATCCGGTATCGATGTCAACCTACGGACAGCCAACACTAAGAGTATGAGTCCCATGGCAAATGCTCTTTTCCACTGGATCATCTTTACGTTGATGAACGTCCATGAAAGAACTTCCCCGGTCAGTTCCGTGGGAGTGTAATATGATACCACTTCACCAGATGCGCCTTCTTGTTGTAGGACCTCGTCGTTTTTTTATCTTTTCCTTTTTAAAATTGAATGATGCCGGCTCAAATCAGTATATCAAATATCACGTGCCTCTATGATAATCACATTGAATTAGTCGCCAGCAAACGAAGAAGGATCATATCAGACTAGTTGCTTTTAAATTTACATACGATCACCGGTCTTCGAAAGGGAAGCACAAAACCTGTGGTATGGTTATATCGGCATGTCTTGCCATTAGTATCATTCTATTAGAGGGAAAAGTGCCAAAAAAATCCTAAACCTTTTCCATTGCTACCAATTCAGTCCTAAACCTTTTGCATTTGTGCCAATTCAGTCCTAAACCTTTTATTTTTGTGCCAATTCAGTTCTTCCTGCCAATTTTGGCCGGATTTTCTGACATGGACATCAACCGGCCGGCCGCCGGTCACCGGCGTTGACGTGGACAACTTTAATAATATTTTAATATTTTTTTTCTTTTTTTCTTTTCTTCTGGCACGACCTCGCCAGATCTGGCAAGGTCGGGCCTCGCCCAGCCATGGCGAGGCTCGCCTTCGCCGTCTCTGGCGAGGGCGAGCCTCGCCCAACCGCCGGTGAGGCCACCCTCGCTAGTGGCTGGCGAGGGCGAGCATCGCCGACGCCGGCCTCTGGTCTCTGGCCGGTCGCCGGTCTGGCGATCGGCTGGAGGAAGGAGGGAGGGGAGGGGAAAAAAAAGAGAAGAAAAAAAAATAAAAATAAAATTTTATTAAAGTTGTCCACGTCAGTGCCAGTGACTGGCCGCCGGCCAGTCGGCGTCCACGTCAGCAAAATCTAGCCAAAATTGATCGGAAAAATTGAATTGGTATAAAGACAAAAGGTTTAGAACTAAATTGGCACAAAAAAAAAGTTTAGGACTAAATTGGCACAAATGCAAAAGGTTTAGGACTGAATTGGCACCAAAAAAAGGGTTTAAGACTAAATTGGCATCAATGCAAAAGGTTTATGACTTTTTTGGCACTTTTCCCTTCCATTAGAAGTTAGATTTGGACCCAAATGGAAGTTACGAAGATCACTGAGCAATCTGATCGTGACCCACATCCAGGTGAGGGTCGAAACCGTCGTCTATTGGCCAGCAAGAGCGTCGCGGCGGCCCTCGCCTGTGGCGGCCGGGAGCCCTCGCCGGCCAACAGTTTCTGGAAAAAGAAAAAAGAAAAAGAAAAAAGTATTAAAAAATTTTGAAAAAATTATTAAAAAATTATAAATTTGTCCACCTTAGCGCCGGGGATGCCATGTAGGACTGTCGGCGTCCACATTAGAGATTTCCAATCTAAATTGGCCAGATGGACTGAATTGGTACCAATGCGAAAATGTTTAGGACTTAATTGATTAAACTGAAAGGTTTAGGACTGAATTGGTATCAATGCAATAGGTTTAGGACTTTTTTGGTACTTTTCCTTGTCATAGGTGGGAAACAACCAGCTTCTACATGGGCCCAATTACTATGTACATTACGTGATCCAATCATATACATGTGAATGGGCCTGCTTAAATTGGCCCACTACTCTTGAATCGGGATGATAAGGCCCAAATATTACAGCCCAATAGGTAACGCTCATAGTCTACCTCTATTGACACCAAAAATTTAACGTTAAAGTCTCCGTGTGACCTACATCTCTCTTCTCTTAGATACACTGTACTAACTTAAGCATCGTAGAGGGCTTTAGAGCAAAGCTCAGGGGACTTCTTTGTCTAAAGCGAGTCGGTTTTAGGCGCCTAGGACCCGATACTAGCAAATCGAGGACCCGCCCAACATGAGCGTTACCCGTATTTGTTTCTCCAAACAAATGAAAAACTCGTGGGTTGGTTCTATCACTAATTTGAAGTCGATGTCTCAAAGTCCATCTCCAATCCCTCATTGATAAAACCGAATTGAAGCAATGAGAAAGGTCAACTTAATGGAGATTACTAGGAAAATTACAAAAAAAAGTCATAAATCTATTGCAAATGTGCCAATTCAATCATAATTTTATTTTTTTGCCAATTGAATCCTCAACCTTTTATATTTTTGCTAATTTAGTCCATCTGGCCAATTTTGATTGGCCAGTGCTGATGTTGACATTTTTTAAAAATAATATTTTCATATTTTTTGAATTTTTAATTAATAAATTTTCTTTTCTTTCTTTTTTTTTTCTTTCCTTATTCCTCTAGCCGGTTGCCTAACCTCGATGACCGGCCAGAGGCGAGGGCCAGTGAGGTCGACCTCTCCAGCCAGAGGAAGAAGGAAGAAAAAAACAAAGAAAGAGAAAGAAAAGAAAAAAAAAGGGAAAAGAAAAATTCGAAAAAAAATTTAAAATTCAAAAAAATATGTATTATTAAAAATTATCCACGTCAGCACTAGCCGGCCAAAAGTGGCCGGATGGACTGAATTGGCACAATTGTAAAATATTGAGGACTCAATTGGCAAAAAAAAATGTTTAGGTTTTAAATTGGCATAATTACAGTAAATTTAGGGTTTTTTTGGTAATTCTCTCGGAGATTGCTTCATGATCAAATGAGGGATAAGCTAAGTTTTTTCTTCACTTGCGTATATACCACTTTCAGACACCTTTTTTCTCTAGTAGCAAGTAAAAGCTTTCATCCTTGTCCATAAAAAAAAAAGGGGGAAAACAAAGAAAAAGGAAAACATTATGTATGAGGACAAGCACACGAGAGGCAGCTTCTCAATCGTGATTGATCCTCAAGAAATGCTAAGGTTGCGTTTGTTTTGGTGAAATTGTTTTTCGGGAAAGCATTTTTCAGACTTTTATCCGTTTGGTTGTACGAAAATAATTTGGTCAACCGAAAACACTTTCCGGTCAAGGAAATCATTCTTGTATAAATTTATGAAAGTTAATTCCCTACTTTAAGAAGGTGAAAACGCTTTCCGGAATTAATTATCTTAAATTTGTTAATATTTTATTTTTCTTTTCTTTTTCCTTTTCTTTTTTTTTTCTTTTTCCTTCTTCCTCCCTCCGCCGGCCGCCACCCCTGCCGCCAAGGCCAGTGACCGACCACAAGCGCACCGACCTTAGGCGAGGCTGAGCTCGCCAGCCTCAACACGGCGAGCTTGAGTCTCACTGGGATCTGGCAAGCTCGAGCTCATCGACCTCGGGCGACATCAAGCCTCGCCGGGATTTGGTGAGCTTGAGCTTGCTGGCGTCGCGCAAGGCTTGACCTCACCGCCTCCACCTCGCCTCGACCTTGCCCGAGGCCAGCAAGCTCGAGGCTTGACCTCACCGCCTCCACCTCGCCTCGACCTTGCCCGAGGCCAGCAAGCTCGAGGCTTAGCAGATCCAGGTGAGCTAGGGCTTAGCCAAGGTCGACGAGGTCACGACTCGCCAAATCCAGGCGAGCTTGAGAGCCCGCGACTCACCCAAGGCTGACGAGCTCGAGCTCGAGCTTGCCTGGGGTCATCGCCGGGGTGTCGCTGGCCGGTCTTGGTGAAGGAAGGAGGAGAAAGAAAAGGAAAGTGAAGAAAAAAGAAAAAGAAAAAAATAATTAAAAATTCGATTAAAAAAAAGAAATAAAAAATAAAAAAGAAATTAAAATAATTAAAAATTCGATTTTTTCAAAATAAAATAATTAAAAAATTCGATTTTTTTTCCTGAGATAAAGTCATGAGATTGAAATCATTTTCCAATAAAATCCAAACGCCAGAAAACGATTTCGATTATATATTACCAAACAAAGGAAAACTAATCGTTTTCCTGGAAAATGCTTTCGAAAAATCATTTCCCTTTATCATGGAGTTTCCGCGAAATAAACATATCCTAAGACTCTGTTCCTTGCACTTTGCCTCCAAAACTAGACACACATGTCTAAGAGGTTGACCAGAATTGGTATCCCCGTGGCGGTATTTCCGTTTTCCGCAAATTACTTTGATCTCTTCTTTCGAAAATGTCCTCATTACCAATATCTCATGGGATAACACACGTGGAAAAACAGATAACTTAAAAAAAGGAAAAAAAATCAGAAATAATATTAAAAAATTATCCAAGTCAATGCTGGCCGTCCTACGGCAATGTCACGTAGAACAACTGGCGTCTGCGTTAGCAATTTTTGGTTAAAATTTGTTGGATGGACCATATTAATAAATTGTCAAAAGGTTTAGAGGTAAATTTGCCAAATTGAAAGGTTGATGATTGGATTGGCATATTTAGAACTTTTTTGGGTGATTATCCCGTTTAGTGATACTATGCAAACCCTAGATTCTTGGCTTCACATGCAGGTTTAACACGCCAAATCCATCATCTGCAAGTCCATCTCATATCAAACCCCACCACAATCAACTTTGTCTTTATGTGCTCCACATTTCAAAAACCAGTCAAACCCAACAACATGTATGGAAATAGTCTGATCCGAAGCATTCTCTCTT